GAGATATTGGAGGATATAAGAGCAAGGGAGATCACGTAGTATAATTGGAGACAGGGATAGGAACGAATATGCAAGTACGAAATGAATCATTTGACTGTGCTGTTGGTTTAAACAGGAACATTATAATTGACACGTATGAACATGTATTAAGACAAGTAATATTACATCTATGAATATATGTTTATATATAAATATATCTAAGCACTTAACCATTTATAATATTCTTGAAATTTCGCGACTTTCGCGACAATAGTCATATATTTTAACAACTTTGAAGATGGCAATTTTAACTATCCAAAAAGGAACATTTCCATAAGTTTTAAACGATTCGAAATAAAGCTCAGCTGTGAAGCAAATTTGATGCAAACGATTAAAAAATGATGTCTAAAAATAAAATTATAAAAAAGTTTACTAATAGTATTGTAAAAAATAAAAGTGAAAAAAAAGTAATAAAATTATAGACAAATAAACTCAGAGAAAACAATTGATGAATAAGAATTATTCATTTTCCGGTTATTCAATGTCATATACTCTCCAAATTGTCACATGTTTTGAACCGGAAACCGATTAAATTTTTGATTGACGGCAAAATGAATCGCTATTTCACACGAAACAGAAACAATTTAATCATTTTATTTGATCTGAAAGGTCTTTTACCTTTAATAACACAATGTATAGCATTTATTTATGTCATCAGTAAAATTAATCAATGATATTATCAATATCAGCTGATATATTTCATCGATTTTGTTGAGAATAGTGGTATTAATAGTTGTGCCAAGAAAAACAATGCAATGAATCATCATGGCAATTAATTACGAAAACAAAAATGAAAATTTAATAAAACATCGAATCTTTTCATCATTCTACTAAACGTTCACCTCATACCACAAAATCGAATCAATAGAGTAGCGATAATTCTCACATTAAGAAGATCTTTTAATTCATTCTATGGAAGGATAAGTGAGATTTAATATCGAATCAATTTGCATATTGCAATCGTTCGGAACCATTAAAATAATGCAACTGACTTAGATGAAATGAATAAAAAATTTTTTGAGAGATACTTAAAAGTAAAAAGCAAATGAATAAAGTTGAAACATGTGAAATAATAGGAAAGTTCAAATTTTCCAGGAAGTATATTCTGAGGTAGATCAGAGAATGAATTGAGAAATTTCAATAAAATTCTTGGGTATGTCCTGCTGTATTGTTCGAGAGGAAAAAGAAACAAAATGTGCTTGTCAAAAAAAAATGATAAAAGTAAAATTAGAGATTGAAGAATAGTACAAATGCTGTTGATAAAAATTAAAGACATAATTTTTCTTGAAAAAAAATTCATAATTATTTTGCTCTCTACAGTTATACGTAAGTAATGATTTATCATATATAAATTTTGTTACTACGCGAAAATTTTCTTTTTTTTGAATTTTTTTGCTATCAAAGTTTTTAATGACATTTTTAAGTTGAGAAGAAAATTGAATGAGTGTACTTTACAGTAAAAAGTAAATATTGACTTTTAAGCTGAACAGTTCACTTGCAAATAAAGTTATTTGATCCGGAAACATTGTTAGTTCTTCCGAATTCACATGTGGTTTCGCAAAAGGCTTATTTTCGATCATTTGCTTAAATAATTACCTTTTCCGCAGTATATCAAAGTAATAAAATTATGTAAATTTAGCTTTTCTGTTGCTGTTAAATTGTAAAGTAAACCAAAAGTTCAGTAGTAAAAAGTGGGAGGACGAAGGAAAGACGTTTGATTAAAGTAGAGAAGGTATTAGCAACAGCATGAGTGTCAGAAAAATGGTACAGTTGATTGAATTTGAAAAAACTGACAAAATTTTATTTAAATTAACGTACAAATGAAATTCTGTCAACTTTTTTTGCTTACTTAGGCTTACATAAATATAATATCAAATTTCTAAAATTGCGAATGTAACGTTCAAAATTTTACAGATAGTTAATAATTTCCTGCAATCCAAGTTTAGCACTTTTTAACAGATGTAAAAATTATAGTGGCAATTATCAGAAAACCAAAATTTCAATAATTAAGCATTAATTTTAGAATGATTGTATAAAAATTTCAGTACGTGTGAATTTTATTTTTCAGAAAAATGATAATCGATTGTGTCCAACCGATTACAAAAAGTATTTTGACATTGTAAATTAATTACATATGAAATGAGTGTTAAATTGTCGCCAAAAAAATAGCTAAATGTGAGAATAAATGCGATTAAAATCTTGTAATATTTTAATAAAATCTAATTTTCCCTTCCTCATACTAATAATAATAAGTAATAATAATAATGAAAATAGTAATAAACAATAGTAATAAACAATAATAATAAGCAATAATAATAAACAATAATAATAAACAATAATGATAAACAGTAATAATAAACAATAATAATAAACAATAATGATAAACAATAATAACAAACAATAATAATAAACAATAATAATTGTTATAATAACAACAACAATTATAACAATAACAATAATAACAATAGCGATAATAACAATAATAATAATAATAGTGATAATAATAATAATTGAGGAAAGGATTTAACAATTTATTTCATTATAATATAAGCTTCACTCATTTTTGACATTTCGTTTTCTTTTATAGTTTCTTTCTTTTGGTTGAATTTTTCGTTTAAATGTTGAAAATTGTAATCGGAAAACTTTATGGGTTTTCTTTTTCTTTTGTTTTTCAACATATCTCTTTTCAATAATCTTCAATGGTTTTACTCTACGAGAAATTGGTGTAATAGGCAAACAAATATCTTAACATTTGAAATATAAATTTTATTTGTTCTTTTAGAAGAACATCTTTTAAATTGCTCATTCAATTTTAAGTTGAATTTTTTTTCTCTTTTTTTTGTATTTCGTCTATTATAAGTTAAAGCTCATAATAAGCTATTTTAAATGAAATTGATGAAAAGTAAACTTATTTCTCCTCGATAAGAATGAGAAGGTATAAGCCAAAGTTTAAAAAAAATACAGCAGTTCAAAATTACAGCAGCTAGGAATTATTTAGCAATTTCAATCATTCCTGAAGATTAGCAACAAATCATTTCTACAATTCACAGCATTGATTTCGCGATGAAAAGCTTCAAATTATATTAATATTTAGTTTCATTGTAATTTAAAAATTCTTCATGTTGAGAAAATAAACTGTAATATTCCTAACTCTTACTCGCATAAGCATTTGTAGACAATTTTAATAGCATATAACATCGAATTTATGCACATTGGCATTCATAATTTGAATTCATATTTTTTGAAAGATAAATTGATTTATCATTTTTTCAATTTAACTAATTGTGAAAATTTGCATAAGCAGTTTGATAAACAATGATTTGATATAAAGATGGTTCTGAAGAAGTCTTGTTTATCTGCCTCAAATCGAGTATTTTAATTAAATTTTGGAAATTATATGACAAACTCTTTTTTCAACAAAACAATTACTCATCATTGAAAAATTTAAAGAATATATGAAGAAATTAGGACGGAGAGAGCAAGGGGGTGAAATGATATTACAAATTACTCTACAATTAATTACCACCAATTGGCAAGGAGGAGCATTGTTAGAACTACTCTCGTACCTCTATCATTGCATTGTTTAAATTTTAAGCCCAATTTTTCAATCTTCTTTAAACTTAATTATTATCTCGCTTAAATGGTCAATTATTACTATATTTATATGAGCAATATTATAATTATTATCATTATTATTTCTTGCATTGGAA